TTTTGCGGCAACTATCTTTTTGTGATGACAAGTTTTCTTTTCTATGGTGACATTTATTGCCACCGATTTTTAATAGATAGAATCAATGATAAAAGTTCTCGCAGTGACATTGTAATGACTTTTTGTCATCACTTAAAACTTTCAACAGTGACCTTTTAGCTTTCAGCAATTGAAAGTCAATTTTTTTTGTAATAATTGTTATTTTATCTTTTTAAAATTGAGAGAATGACACACTACTACAAAAATGACTTTTTACAATGGTTAAAAATGACTTTTTACAGTGGTTAAATACGTGGTGTTGTTACATGGGATGTAGAAAGTCTAACTTTCTACATCGGTTATACGACCACTGTAAAAAATACATATTCTACGTTGGCTAACCATAACCGATGTAGAAAATAGTTCAACAATTGAAAAATTAAAAATTGGAGTACTTTCTACACCAGTTAGAAGTGCAACTAGTATAGAAAGTTGACTTTCTATACCTTTGGACTTCCAACTGGTGTAGAAAATACTTTCTACACTGGTTGGGTTCCAACCGGTGTAGAAAGTCCACTTTCTACACCAAGTGACAGTCCAACCGGTGTAGAAAGTTGACTTTCTACACCAGTTTCACTTCCAACCGATGTAGAAAGTTTGCTATTTTACACCAATTATTACCATAACTGATGTAAAAATTACAATTCTACACTAGTTATAGTAATAATCGCTGTAAAAAGTGCATTTTATTTTTAAAATAAATGTTCATATTTTTAAATTTTCTCTACTCTGTACAAAAAAATTACCACAGCCAAATCAGATAGCACAATTTATTTATAATTTCCAATATAAAATTAAATTAACAACTATTCAAAACTCAAAGTTATCTATAAACTATCTAAAAATTATATATTGAGCTATCCAAAATATTGTATCAACAAATATTTTCAAAAGTTGTCTACAACTAACAAACTTCTTAAATTATATGAAACTTTCTACAAAACTCACAAATTCTCCCCAAAATAAGTTGTCCAATGTATGCGAATGTCTTCAATTTCAGCTTTGGGGAATGGATCCAAATTGTCAAACATCTAAAATATAATTTGTAAAAGAGACTTATTATGTACTGTCAAATAACATAACAAAATAAAACTCTTAAAAATATATATACCTCTTTTGTAAATTCAGTCATGCCTAATGTGATAATGTTGAGTATATGTCTCATCACATATAGGCCGCACAATTTCATCTTCACCGGTTGTCGACGGCTCTGTATAAGAATAAATCATAAGAAATCAATAAAAAAATATTAGTAATTGAACATATTCATAAAGTATAGCATTACCTTTGGCTCGATCCATGTAGGATCCTTGAGCTCATGTCCGTGCTTTTGCAAGACTACATTTTGATATGTTTTCATTGCTCTATGTTCAAGATCACCAAGTTAGTAACTAAAATATTTAGTGTAAATTATATTAATATTTTTGCACAAATATATGTACGAGTCTATCGTCTTCTTTTAGAAGATTTTAATAGAGAAAATTGATAATTTTAAACCAAATTAATGATCATATGCAACAACCTAAGGCTTTATGAAGCCACTAACATCACTTCCAACAACAATCAATATCAATAACAATTAAATTTAAATAATTTAGGGGAAAGAATAAATTTTAAAAAATTTTGACAAAACCTCCCCTAAAAATTAGACCTCCCAAGACTTTTAAAAAATTTTAATAAAGAAAATTGATAATTTTAAACCAAATTAATGATCACATGCAACAACTTAAGGCTTTATGAAGCCACTAATAGTAATCCCAACAATAATCAATATCATTATCACACACACACACACACACACACATATTAGCCTCATAAATTAAAAAATTAACAAAAAATACAATCAAATAAAAGATTATCTTTATAAAAATTAAGAGCCATACCTAATCAATCAAGAGTGGCGGCAGCAACAAGAGGAGGAGCAAGCCATAGGAGGAGGAGGAAGAGGCAGGGAGAGGGGAATATGAAGGAAATGGCGGCAAAGGGGGGAAGGGGTGCAGCTGCAGGGGGAGGTGGAGGGGGCACGGGGAAGGGGAAGGGGATAGGGAGGGGGCGGGACAGGGGGAGGTGGGTGGGCGGGGCAAGGGGAGGGGGCCGAGGGGACGGGGGATGAGGGGGGGTGGGGTTGAGGGGGAAGGGGATGGGGCGGGGGCTGAGGCAGCGCGGGATAGGGGAGGGGTAAAGGGGGAGGGGGCTCGAAAAGGGAAGAGGAGGGACAGGGGGCAAGGGGCGAGAGCAGATTCTGAGGAGGCAGAGGGAGGTAGCGAGATCGGGAAGAGAAAATGAAGGAGGAGGAGTAGAGTGGGAGGCACCTATCAAGCAAGATTGAGGAAGAAGAGGAGAAAATGAAGGGGGAGGCACGGACTAAAGGAAAAAAATTTAAATTACTTTCTACAACGAGTGTATAAACACTCACTGTAGAAAGTGTTTTTCTACAGCCGATGAGTGTCACTCGGTGTAGAAAGCTTGACTTTCTACAACAAGTGTTTAGTCACCCACTGTAAAAATCCTTTTTTACAGCGGTTCGCATTTCACCCGTTGTAAAAACTATAATATGCGTTGCCATTATTACAAAAATGCCACCGCCCTAACTTTCTACAGCTTTTTCCTTCCAACCGATGTAGAAAATACCCCTTAAATTTCATATTTTGTAGCAGTGACACTTAAGTTTCAATTGAACTATTTTATTCCTGTAAAGCCTCAAAGAAATTCAAAATGTAAAGGACATCCCTTAATCTTAGGACCAAAATTTAAACTTCCAAATTTGCAATCTATTTTTTAAAATTTGCAACTTCTTCTACTTTAATTTGCAATTCAGTTTTCTAATTTAATTTAAGAATACAATTTTTTTACAAAAAATACAAAATTTTGACATTAAATTTTATAAAATTATTTATTTAGTTCGATAAATTTGTAATTTATTTTCTTGGATTTGCAACTTTATCTACTATAATTTGTAACTTTATATCCCAATTTTATTTATGAACATAATATCAATGTTTATTTTTCTCAAGAGAAATTATTTGTTCAATTCTAAGAATTTACAATCTAATTTACCTAATGTGCAATTCCATTCACCTTAATTAGTTTACACCTTGAGTTCCAACTATTGTTTAGAAATTCATAAATAAAATTTCTTAAATAAAATTAATATTGAAATTTTGTGTTTATAAATAAAATTGGGATAGAAAGTTGCAAATATGAGAAATTAAGTTACAAATACTTATAGCTCACAAAATAACATTATAAATTCAAGGTTGAAATCTTGAATCTAAATAAAATTTAGAATTTGAATTGTAAAATAAGGTAAATGGAATTACAAACTATAGAGAGTAAAATGCAAAATCTTGAAATTGAATAAGTAATTTCTCATGAGAAAAATAAATATTGAGATTGTGTTCATAAATAAAATTGAGATACGTAGTTGCAAATCATGGTAATAAAGTTGCAAATTTGAGAGAGTAAGTTGCAAATTTTTGCAGCTAAATAAAAAATTTATAAAATTCAATATAAAAATTGTGTTTTATATAAAAAAATTGTGTTCTTAAATTAAAACAGGAAATTGAGTTATAAATCAAAATAGGAGTTGCAAATTTCAGAAAATAGTTTGTAAATTTGTAAGTTTAAATTTTTGTCAAAGGATCAAGGGACTTCCTTATATTTTGAAATTTGTTGAAACTTTATTAGAATAAAATGATTCTTTTGGGATTTAAGTGCCATTCTCCCTTTAAAATTGGATCTTGAGTTCAGTTCTTACCGTGGAGTTTTTTTTTTTAAAAAAAAAAAAAGTTTACCCCACCCAAGATATCCATCATCGCTACTCAACAACGTATCCTTGCGTTTCCACTCCACCATTTTTATCATTTTTAAAAGAGAAAGTTACGCATATAAAGAACTCATCAATAAATAGGTCCCGCAAATTTGAAGAAATTATACAACTAAGTCCATTAGAACTTGAGTGTAATTGAAATTTTAGGAGAAAAAACATTATCCTTTTATTTCTTAAAATTTAAAAAACACCATTAAACAGAAGTCATATCTATTACCCTTAAGCAAAAATAAATAATAAACTAAATGAAATAAGCCAAAAATAAAATAAATAATAATAAAATAAAGAAAATAAAAAGAAAAGATAAATATGAATTTTACGAGATTTATTTATAGATATATCTCTTAAAATGGGATCTATACATAATTTTTCCATTAAAAATGATAAAAAAATATTTCGTTCTTCTTCACATTAAAGCTTCATGAGCTTTCAGCCATTAAAGGGGGGAAAAAGAAGAAGAATTAATTAAACTTGGACCTCAACTTTGGATTGGATGAATCTAATCTGAACTTAATAATTAAAATTTATGGGCAAAGACCAAATTAAAACAATTCAACTGTTTAAATTATAATTAATATTATCCTTAAATATAATTCATGACCCGAGCGAAATTCACACACACACACAGAGATGCGTGCGTCCGTGGCCGATAAGATTAAATGAACCTGTCCTTATTTCAAAACTTACTCCAAACATTTTTTTTTGGGAACAATACTATAAGGAAAAAAAATAATTTTCTGAAAAATGTAAAAACTGTAAAATGTATATAGAGAGTGTGACACAAGTTGAGCCTGTTATAATCTAACGCGTTATAACCATTGTAAAAGTCATCAAAAGATGGATACGTAATGTGAAAAAGTGAAATTCACATGACAAATAGGTCAATTAGATAAACATATATACTCATTATTCTCACATGGTCCATTAAATTAGAACTTGAAATTAAATAAAACGACTGATATTGATTTCTTGAGGTATAATTAATTAACGGTTAATCTAATCGGCGTGTCTATTAATAATTCCAAAGAAATAAGAGTTAGGTTAGTTAGGCCTCTAAAGTATATATAACATAAGTTATGAATAAAAGGAATCACATGAGAGTAATTCGGAGAGCATAATTCAAATGCAAAGGTTAACTTCTCAACTGAGACTTCAAAATGCAACATTATATTTTGGCATTACACTCATTGTGGCCCATAATCGAGCATATCCATATTCTGTTCATCAAGAAAAAATATAAAATCTTCACACAGTGTATTTGAATAAGGCATAATGAGGCATTACAGTAACATGTAAAAATCTGCATCCATTTTAAAGAAAATCTCTGCCTTCGTCGTTGATATCTTCCTCTTCTTGGAGATGAAAAAGAAAGTGGCTATGATCTGCTAAAGGAAAAGATAGAAAATGATAAATCATAAACTTGATAGGCCTTTCAACACACACATACTGTGGTTAGCTACAAATAGATAATTCAAACAAATAGAACCAAGAAGAAAACAGAAACAGAAACATAAACCTGTTGGCATGGACAAAACCTAAGACTTTAATTCTCTAAATCATTAGCAAAAAATGTAATAAAAGATAAACAGTGAAATCAAACCAAAAAAATAAAGAAATCAGTGCATACTCATGTCAATCATTTCGCAGTGTAATATAAAGATACATAAGATGTTATATATATTTATTAGTCAAACATGAAAAATTATGAATATAGATGAACAAACACACACACACACACACACACTCTTAGTGTACCTAGGATAAGCTAGCAACAAGATAATTAAATTACAATAGTTCCATTAAAATCAACACTCGCTTATGGTGAAATGATATTGTGGCTACATCAGTAAATAGTTAATTTATACAAATAGAACCAAGAAGAAAACAGGAACATAAACATATTGGCAAGAGACAAAACCAAAGACTTCTCTAAAACAAAAATGCGAAAAAAGAGTTCGTAATAAGCAAAAGCTGTAATTAACAAATAATAAACAGTAAAATAAAATCAAAAAAGAAAAACAAGAAGCCATTGCATAATTCATATCAAGCATTACGCAGGGTTAATACAATAAAGATTTATAAGATTTTATATTTGTTAATCAAACAAGAAAAAAAAAAGAATATATAGATGTTCAAATATACCAGAGGGAACGTTTGCTTCGGCTGAACAAATTCTACAAGAAGCCCTTCGTAAACAGAAGATGAAGAACGAGGCAGATGAGAAATTGGATGATTAGAAAGGAAAGAACACACCTCAGAATATACCTTTTACAAGCGTCAAAATAATCGGAAAATGACGTAGAAGAACAAGGGAGAAAGGGAGCAGGAGATGACTAAAATAGATAACATTAGACGACGACATCTACGCCTACTACGCCGACTACGAGTATGCCTTCTTCTTGCAAAAAGAAACCCTTTCAGCCATTCGGAACAGGAACAGAAGATGAAACGAAGTATCACCCAAGAATGTTAGAGCAAAATCAAGAACACGGCTGAGATAGTGATTGACCAAGTAGAAAAAGTAACTCATCTTCTGGGTCAGAATAATGAGCGACTGAGATAGTGATTTTCTGGGAAGGAATGAGAGACTGAGAGTGGCCGATCGATTCGTGTAATTCAGCGAATGCCAGAATTTTCATGCATCCGAGGTTTTATATGGAGTTAAAGAGTGACTTGTTTGTTTATTAATTGTAACGGTCAAGTTGTTGAAACGGTTGAACGCAGATTGGGCCCACTTGAGAACTCTTATAATTTAATAATTGAGGGGATAATAAAACTTCAGTTTCTTAAATTTATGTTAATCACCAACGAAGTCCCTAAAGTTTAATTTGTATTGATTCAGTCCTTTAAGTTTGCTCTAATTATCAATTTAGTTCTCATCATTTAAATAGGAGGTAATACAGTTAAAATCTGTTGACATGGATAACATAATTTTGATGGTAGTCATAGTTATTGAAAGAAGTGTGATTATTTAGGTTAAAAGAACAAAAACTCATAATGGTAAAAAAACAAAAAACAAAAGAATAAAACGTAGTGTAATGAACTACATTAATAAAAATTAAATTTATTTGAGGAATAATTTATTTTTATTTAGCTACATATGTCAACTTATCAAAATATTGACACTTTTTGATGGTGTCTTTAGAATAATGGGATTTTGGCTTTGAATCAAATCCCTTATTTTGATACACAAAATTTATAGATTTAGATTATTTGTTACATTTTCTTTGTAATTTTAAATTTTCTCTACAACCTAATCATTTAAAATTTCAATCACTTCAAACCATTAGTTCTCTTCATGTTTTCACTTTTGATATCCTCATGAATCTCATATCTTTTATTATCTCTCATTATCGTCTCTCATTGATTGAACACATATATAAATTCATCACCTTCAATTTTTTATTTTCATTTCGAATCTCAACTCACCTCTTCTTTATTTGAAAGTTTTTAAACCACTTAAACAAATGATTTTAAATGAAATTTGAAATGCAAGCTTTTAAATTTAAAATTCAAATCCAAATCCATACATTCAAATTCTACCTGTGTGTAAACTTCTGTTTTGAAACTTAAAAGACTAATATGATAATTTAGGAAAATATAAAAGATCAATGAAAAATGATAATAAAATCTCTTTGAATTATTTAAATGATAATTTAATCCCTCAAAATGCTATAATTCTACTCAAGTCCCTAAGGACTTTTTTGCCATTAATAAATTTATAAAAATGACCAAATTGCCGTTGTTGAAAGTAAAATGATCACAAATTTTGTTTAAATAATCATAACTTTCCTTCTTATATTCACAATAATGTAATAAAAAAATTACAAGTTCACATGTCATATTTCTAATATAGCTGTAAGTGTTGGAAAATAGTAATAACAAGTTTTATTTAAATAATCATAACTTTCTTTCTTATATTTGTAATAATGCAATAACAAATCACAACTTTGCATGTCAAATTTCTAATATTGCTATAAGTGTTAAAAATAACAAGTAATGATCACAAGTTTTGTTTAAATAATTACAACTGTTCTTTTTATATTTGCAACAATGTAATAGCAAATTATAAGTTCGCATGTCAAATTCCTGATATTGCTACAAGGATAATTTGGTCATTTATATAAATTTATTAATGATAGAAAAGTCTATATGGACTTCAATAGAATTATTGCATTTCAATAGACCAAATTGTTTTTTATATAATTCAAAGGGATTTTATTGTTATTTTTCCAAAAATCAAATTGACAAAAATTAAATTTGAGGGGCCAAAGTGATAGTTAAAACATACTTGAGGGACTAACAATTTCATTATCTAAATAATTATCACTATAGGTATCAAGAAAACGGCGTCATTTTCAATTATGTTTCCTAGGTGAAACTTCATGAGCTATCGTTGATTCAGCCAACCATGTGTTTTGGCAAAGTCTAAATCTCAGGTTACTTTGATTAACAAATTCTTCGTAATGCCTTGATTCTTGTTTCTAGTCATTCAAATTATCAAACTACAATTTGACATGCAAAGAGTAGATTTCTCCTGACTAAATTGCTACATACACAAGAGTTGGGATTCAAACCCCTTACCACTTGCTTAACTAACAAGAGCCCTTACTACTCATGCTAGCTTTAGTTGGTTGAATTAGGCTTCTAATTACCTCTTTTTCTTGCCATCTTTCAATTACTTTGATTGGCAGTAAAGTAATGTTTTCCACTTGAATAATAATTTTAGTTAGAAGTGGGAATTTGTCCTAATATTTTTTTTTTTTTTTCATTAAAGCTTGAATTACGTTATGATTTTCTTCTAACCTTGCTTTTCATACCATTTGCATTAAACACAGCCCAAATTATGAGCTCCAAAAGCTAGCTGGGTGTAAAATATCACGTTTGAATTATCGTTGAGCCAAATGATTTTTTAAGTTAAACCAAAAGCTACTTTGGCTTTTCATTTACACGTAGCTGAGTGTAATGCATTTTAGAACTTTATTGTTTTTAATTATATATGTTTTTTATTTTATTTAATACATCTAATTATATATTGTAAAACTCTAAAATTTACACCAATTTTTTGCAAATTATATAATTTCATAATGAACTTTACCGATTAAATATATACCATAGTAGAAAAGAGTTTACTATAGTAATAAAGGGTAAAATTTACTTTTCAAAACACTAATATGGTAAATAAATGTTTACTACAGTAGAAAAAATTTTAAATAATATTTTAAAACTATACTATGATAGAAAAGAGACTACCATAGTAACTAGAGTTGAAGCCATTTTTATGAAAGCATATATACACCATGGTAGAAATTAAAGAGCTTTTCTTACAAACAAACATTTCTCAAATTTGACTATCATAGTAGAAAAGGATCTATCATTGTATAAAAGATTAAACATAATAAAATAGACCTGTCATAGTAAATAAGAAAGTAAATAACTCAAATAAATAATTAGTGATAGAAAACTAAATTAAATAAAGTGTACCTCATAAGATTTCATTGAAGACAAGTATTTAAATCCAATATAGTAAATTATAGAAAATGTAATTAAAAGTGAAGCATGATTTTTTGGGCGCTCAGTTGTTAAAAAAAAGTTTATTAGAGGTAAAAAGGTTTAAAGTGACCATTTCAAAAGTTAAGAATTTAATAAGGGAATTTAAAAAAAAAAAACTTGCGTCATATGCCACGACATACATGCCACATGTTGAGATATGTAGCAAAAAGAGGAAAATCCACCTTCTATGATGTGTGCCAAAGCATCCACAACATATGCCGTGATGCACGGTATCACAACAACAAAATGATAGCACGAATAGTGGCAATAAATTTCAAATTAGCATAACTTTTTCTACAAATATCCAAATTGAGTGATTTAAATACCCACATAAAATTTATAAAATATTATATCTAATAACTCTAGTTTGGTATAAAAATTTCTCCATATGAAAATATTATCCACAAATTTCCATTATGGGCCAAAATACACTTTTCCAAACAAACGCCCTTCCAAAACCAACACTAAAGCCAAAGCCCAAGTGTAAACAACTTGACCACACACCAAACATGTTGGACAATGTATAAAACATAAGCATTCACTTAATTACATGTAAACTCCTATAGTTGGATTATAACCACTCAATGCAATTAATATAATAAAAACAACAAAAATTGTTATAAGCTAACAATCTTCTTTGAGCTCATTGTAAAGCATTTAGTCATATCAAACATGGCCATGAAGGTCAAAAACTATCTCATGGCAACCAATATATGAGTTTAATCAAAAACAGGGAGTTACATGGTCAATTACATAAATTATGCCTTAAAGTTGGCAAATACACATAATCTAAACAAAAAGAGGCCATCTCAATGTAATCACATCTAAGCACACCAATTATGTCTCGGTGCTTCTCTAGTTAGACCATTTCCTATAAAAATGTCAACAATGAGGTATGAGACACAAATGTCCTAGTAACCAAAATTTATATGCAAGGATGCATGCAATGTAAGTAACCATGTGATTCTAAGTTAACATACAAGATTATTGTCCAAACTATGTCATTTAAACAATCTGGATAAAAATAATTTGTATAATTACATCTTATATCCCTCCATATACCATGCTCGAAATCAAGTCACTTGATCAAAGGTAAGTTATTCCAAGTTAATAGCTACTTATTAGATCCAATAAGTGTTTATCACTTGGTAATTAATCTTTGAACAAAATTCCCAATAGCACATATTTCAAAGAAAACCTAACAAGTCATGTATATTTTAGAAATTTTCAAACAAAAACATATCCGAACAAAAACATGCTTCTGAACAATGTTTATACAATCCATAATACTCATACACAGTTCATCTCACTTGGAAATTAATTTTCTAAACAAAAATATATTCTTTCCACATAGAACATAATTTCCAAAGATAACAAAATCACACATAATTGCCGTTGCTAATAGAGCTCCTCAAAATCACACACACATATCATTACACATTAACAATGGTTACCTTTGCTCCTTGCTAATAGAGATCCTCAAACAAGTGGACAATCACCTCCAATGGTGTCAATATCATGATCTACAAACAATGCGACACTAATTATTGGTAATACAATGCTAATCATAGCTAATCAAATTGTCTATACACTAATCACACTCTAATCCGAGGGTTAGGTTAATTAGGTTAATTAACCCAAAACTAATAAACTATCACACTCACATAAACCCTTAAACATACTTATAATCATCATCATTGCACTAATTAATTCCTTAAATGGCCTCTACAACGTTAAATCAACCAAAAATTATTACCCAACAACTCTAGGATTTTGGATTCCAGTGCTCCATTACCATAATCGTCGTAAAAACTACATAAACAATGCTTATTAAACCTCAAACCATCTTAGGATGCAAATCCATTGACTAGGTACCCTCAAAAAACAAACACCCAAGCTTAACCCAAATACAAACTAGCTTAAAGAGAAGTTTAAAATGTATAAATGAGATTAGGTAAGTTACCTTAAGTGATTAGGAGCCCAAAATCATGCTTAATGAGTACTAGCCTCCAAAATTGGTTTTGTTTTTCAAACAAGAGATAAGTTTTGAAAA